GCTGATTCATTTTGCTGTGCAGTAGAAGCTAACACAACATTGTAACGCAACTATTCTCCAATAAAACTTAGTTTAAAAATTAAAAAAAAAAGCATGTTGTAACATTCAGGGTAACCACTAAAAGAACAGAAGTAGAATATCTAAATTCAAACCTAGTAAAGAGGGGGAAAGAAGTGATAATATATAATCAACCCAAAAGAGAATAGCTATAAGTGGGGAGCTATTTTATACAGGGTAACTCAGGAAGATCCCTCTGATGAGATGCTATTTGACCAGAGACCTGAAAGAAGTCAGGAAATGAGCCACATTTATATCTGGAGAAAGAGCATCTTAGAGAAGGCGAAGGCCCTGAGGTGGGAGCAGGGATGGGCATATGCATGGACCAGCAAGAAATGCTGTATTGCTTAAGGCAAATCATAGTGAGAACATAAGTCATATGGGTACTATCTGGAGAATAAACTGTAGGGGATGCAAGTGTGCAATAACCCACTGTGAAAGAAAATAGTGAACTAAATTAAGTGGCAGCAGTGGTGGTGATGAGAAAAGATATATTTTGAAGATAGAGCCAACAGAATTTTCTGAGGGATTGAGGAGTCAAGATCATTCTGATTGGGCAATTGGATGCTCCCATTTACTGAGACAGGAAATACTGGAAACGGAGCAGGTTCAGAAACAGACTTGTTAAATTTGAGATGCCTAATACACATCCAAGAGTCAATTATGCACTTGGAATTAAGAGTCTGAAGTGCTGTTTGGGGTCAGAAACATGAATTTGGGTGCGCAGTGATCTGAATGTGTCCCCTCCAAATTCATATATTGAAATCCAAAATACCCAATTGACAGTAGTTAAGAGGTGGGGCATTGGGAGGCACTTAGGTCAGGGGGGTGGAACCCTCATGAATGAGATTAGTGACCTTAAAAAAGAGCCCACTGGGCTCCCTACCTCCTTCCACCATGTGAGAACACAGGGAGAAGTCGGTAGTCTGCAACCCAGAAGAGGGCTTTCACCAGAACCTGACCATGCTGCTATCCTGATCTTGGACTTTCAGCCTCCAAAATTGTGAGCAATAAATTTGTGCTATTTATAAGCCACCCAGTCTATGATATTTTTCTTATAGCAACCGGAACAGACTAAGGGTCCGTTAGTAACAGACCGTTAGTAACGGCGGGAGAGGGAAAGGGAGTTTGTTCTCTGGTGTCTCTTCTTTTAAGGGCACTAATTCCATCATGAAGGTCACTCTCATGACCTCATCTAACCCTAATTACCTTCCAAAAGCCCTTCTCCAAATACAATCACATTGGGTGTTAGGGCTTCAACATACATATTTTGAAAAGAAACTTTTAGAAAAATGAAGGTAAATAGAGGAAACTTACCTGTGTTTTGAAATCAACTACATATATTTTCATTAAAATGTCTCATCAGAAGGGGCTTCCCTGGTGGCGCAGTGGTTGAGAGTCCGCCTGCCAATGCAGGGGACACGGGTTCGTGTCCCGGTCCGGGAGGATCCCGCGTGCCGCGGAGCGGCTGGGCCCGTGGGCCATGGCCGTTGAGCCTGTGCTCCGCGGCGGGAAGGGCCACAACAGTGAGAGGCCCGTGTACCGCAAAACCAAAAAAAAAAAACAAAAAAAAAAAAAACCAAAATGTCTCATCAGAGAAATTAAAAGACACGTGAATGTCACACACAGCCCAGCTCCTGTCCCAGCAGTTTAACCCATCCAGCATTTCAACTGCTTAGCTGTGCAACCTTGGGCATATCATTTATCCCCTCAGATCTTCAGTGTCTTCATTTATAAAATGGGGGAAAATAATAGTATCCATTTCATAGGAATGATGCCATTTAAATAAGGTCATCTCTGTAGATGTACAGAGTGTGTTTGGCACAATCAGTTGAAAGAGGGTGACAAACAATGAGGGGTATTTGGATAATTGACTAGAAATTTGGAAAGCAGAAGCATTTAGATCCTCAATTGCATCAGATGTAAAAACATAAACTCAAAATATAGGAAACAACCTTTTCAGTGATACCAAGACTAACAATAGTCATACAAATAAATTATATATGAAGGGATGAGTTAAACTGGAGTGGGGGGCTGTTGAAGGGGTGGAGCCTGGCTTCCCCCGGGAGAGGGGCTGCACATGCCACCATTCAGTCTCCATTTCAGCCCTGTTTCTTACCCCTGTCTCTTCTGTGTCTGGTGTCTCTGATTCCAGAGCAAATTGTCCTTCTCCAGAGAATAAACTCTAGTCTCCTTTGGGATGAAGGAAGGTGGTAATGTAAACTCTTTTACAAAAACAAAGATAAAGTCATGTAGTTAATCAGCCCTACTTAACTGCATTTTAAACAAATTAACTTAAAAATACGCTTCTATCTTAAAAGTATGTCAGTTATTATTCACCATTCTTAGAGGCTTATAAATTCTGATCCATTTGCAAAGAAAAAAAAAGGAAATGGAAAGGTTTCCTCACCTATAAAATCTAGGTGAGACAGTATAGGAACTGCCTTTCTCTACTGTCATCATAGATACGTAATTCAATTCAGTTCAAATCAAAGCAATTCAACAAATATTTCTTGAGTCCCTACTGTGTGCCAGGCACTATTCTAGGCACTTATGATACACTGGCAAACAAAACAGATCCCTGCTCTCATGGAGCTTACATATTAGTAAGGGGAGACAATAGTAAATAATAAGCATAGTAAATATGTAAATTATCTAATATGTTAGGTGATATGTGATATGGACAAAGAAAGAATAGAACAAATTAAGGGGGGGTTGGGAATATTGAAGTTAGGGGGTAAGGGACAGGTTGCAGTATTAAGTAGCATGTTCAGAACAGGCTTTAGTGAAAAGGCAACATTGAGCAAAGATGAGAAGGGAAGGGTAGGATGTCTGAAGGAACAGCTAGTGCAAAGGCTCAATGGCAGGAAGAGGTTGGAGTTCAGAAGAAAGGTCTAGGCTGGGGACGTGAATTTGGCAATTAAACAGAGATAGTATTTTAAGCTATAAGACATTATATGAGATCACTGAGGCAGGGACTCACTGAGGCAGAGAAAATTGATTGTCATGCCTTTCACTAAAAGAAGCAATCAGAGAAACCCAAATTCTTGGGAAATCTAAGACCATAGAAACATGGACAAACATATATAAGGAACAGTGAGCATTCTCACTCTGTCCTCTGCCCATCAAAGTCATACAGGACCTAAGAGTTAGAAGCCAGTTGTTTTTTGTTTTTTTTAAAGTAAATATACTAATAGAAAATATCTAGAGATAATGGTATATATTCTGGATTAACAGCTTTACTTTTGATAGTTCACACAATGCTCAGGCAGTTGAATTGTTTGTTCTTCCATTTAAGAGTAAGAAGTTGAACTTGACCAATCTTCAACTATGTTTGGAAGGATGCAGTATTTATAAATACAGTGAAGTACTATGAATCAACTCCTCCACTTCTTCTCTCATACTTCCCTGCCTCAGTTTGGCCCGTGGTCACTTTCTCCCTGGTCCTCTTTGGTGGGTCTCTAGATGTGTTTTTCTGGGGCTATCTCAAAGACCCTCCCACTCAGCAGAAAGCACATTTTTGAATCTAATACTGTACATTTGGCAAATGGAAAGTCAAAAACAATTAAAATGGCAGCCACCAATCTTAATATATCTATCTTCAAAAAAACATCAATATGTATTAAGGAATTATGGCTTAATTTTCTTATGTGTAATAATGGCATTGCAGTTAAGTCTTAACAGAGTGGCGGTTATCTTTTAGAGATACATCTCAAAGCACTTGTGGATGAACAAAAAAGCATCATTATGAACTAAAGTCTGCATAAATATCTCCATAAATAATTCCTAGGTTTCCACAATAGCATCATAATTGTGATTTAAAAAAAATTTTTTTGCAACAAAATACCAAAGGAATTGGTAAGGAAATAAGATTTTTGGCATAGATATAAACAAACATACAAATCTGACATTAAATGACAGTCCATTGTCAGTATTAATCATTTTACATACTCTATAGCAGGAGTGGCAAACTACAACCCTTGGGCTAAATGCAACTCAAACTTGTCTTTTAAATAAAGTTTATTGGAACACAGCTACACCCATTCATTTGTCAGTGGTTCTCAAGTAGGAACTACCTTGCCCTCCAGGGGACATCTAGCAATGTCTGGGGAAAGTTTTGGTCATCACAATGGATGAGGGGACTACTGGCATCCAGTGGCCAGGGATGCTGCTAAACACCCTACGATGTACAGGATGGCTGCCCATAACAAAGTATCTGGCCCCAAAATATCAGCAGCACCAAGATTGAGATACCCTGATTTATATATTGCCTCTGGATGCTTTTGCACTAAAATGGTAGAGTTGAGTAGTTCTGACAGAGGCCATATGGCCTACAACACCTAACATATTTACTATCTGGCCCTTTATAGAAAAAGTTTGCCAATTCCTCTCTATAGAAAACCATAAAATATAAGTATCTCATGTATAGCACATTATCTATCAAGTCTAGAAAAATCCCTTTAACATTATTTCTTCTAGAAATGAGACAACTGACATTTTTATTTATACCTCTTCTAGCCATATAAAGAGCTATAGTAAAGATTATATTTTATTCTGATTCATTAAAGGGATATTTAAAACAGTGAATCTCAAAGCCAATCACAGATCACTGGCCTGTTGTGATGATTTCACTGGCCCACAGTGAAATGAGAAAAATAAAGACAAATTTGGGAGATTTCCATAAAGCTAAGTTAATTCAAATGTAAAGGCTGTTCTCTATGAATATATCCTTCCTGTATTTTTAAATATTAAAATGCCCTTTCTTTTCTGAAACAATGCAGATAATAGGTAGTTCTTTTTTTAATATGGCAAAATTAATAGTTGTAACATTGGGTCAAACCATTAAAAAATAATTATTGGTTCTTGAAATCCAAAAGTCAGAAAACCATAGATTTAGAGGTTTTTGCTCCGATTTGGGGATTCTTTGATGTTGAACATATTTCACATATCATTGCTGAAGGTATTTCTTAAATGTGTTTTGCAATGTCGAATGAGTGATGAACTACAGCTGAAGGCTTTTCCACATTCATTACAATCATATGGTTTTTCTCCAGTATGAATTCTCTGATGTTTAGCAAAGGAGGAATCATGCCTGAAGGCTTTCCCACAATGACTGCATTTATAAGGTTTCACTCCAGTATGGACTCTTTGATGGACAGAAAGATGTATTCTCTGGCTAAAGGCTTTCCCACATCCCTTACATTTATATGGTCTTTCCCCAGTATGAGTTCTCTGGTGTTGAGTTAGGTAAGTGCTGTGGCTGAAGGTTTTACTGCATACATTACAAATATAGGGTTTCACACCAGTATGAATAATCTCATGTTGCCTGAGGTGTCTAACCTGGAAAAATGTTTTTCCACAGTCTTTGCATGTAAAAGGTTTCTCTCTGACATGAGTTCTCAGATGCTGGATCAGCCCAATGCTCTGGCTGAATGCTTTCTCACATACACCACATTCATAGGGTTTCTCCCCAGTATGAATTCTAACATGTTGAGTAAGAGATGATGGATGTCTGAAGGTTTTCCCGCATTCTTTACACTCATAGGGTTTCTCGCCAGTATGGATTCTCTGATGTGGAATAAGGGATGAACTTTGGCTAAAGGCTTTTCCACATTCTTTACATCTGAAAGGTTTCTCTCCAGTATGAATTCTCATGTGTTCTGTAAGATGAATGAGCTGTTTGAAGATTTTTTCACAAATATTACATTCAAAGGTTTTCATTCTTGTATAATTCCTTGAGTGATTAATCAAACCTAAATTGTATCTACTTTTCCTTCTAGATATGTCATATTTATGGTGTCTTTTTCTTGGAGGATCTATTGGTCCTGGAATAACTTTTGAGCACACATTAATATTTTTCACACATCTGTTAGATTCTTGGCCTCTCTCCTGTGTGAGTGTTTTCTTGTGGATCAAGGGGATTTGCCCTGCACCCATTCCTTGGTTCTCCTCGTGGTTTTCTAACTTATGACATTTGGAGTCCCTTCCCAATGTGGAAACCAAGGTGCTTCCTCTTGTGGACCTTTCCATCATCAGGTCATGGTGTAATTCTTCCCATGAGATGTCACTCTTTAAGATTGACTCTTTGGTTTCTGTTTCATCCTCCAAGTCTGAAAGAAGTCCAAAAATATAAATAACTCATATTCACTGAACTTTAAAAAATAAATGGCCACAGTGAGAACAGGAGGGAAAAAAATATATATATACTAGGTACAGGGGGGTTGGACTGTCTTCAAATAGGATCCTGCCACCTAGAGAGCTGATGTGAAAGTAACAAGGTGGTCAACACAAAGAAGCTGTTAAAAGTATGTAAGGTGACTTTAAAAATTGGGAGGAGTTCATCCATGAGAATTGCAAGAGGAAATGGACTAAGATGAAAGCATCACTGGAAGGGCAAATATCAGAGATAAGACAAGGAGATAAGAATTCTAACATGATATCATCTCGAGCTTATATTTCTATGACAAAATTTTATTTACTTAGAAAAATTTAAGTATCTCATACTCTGTGCATGTTAAAATAAAACATCAAATAATATAGAAATGCATTAACTGAAAAAGGATAGCCTCTCTCAATCTCATCCCCATTTCCTTTAATCTCTTAGGATTTTGGAATGCATCTGTTCAGACATTTCTCAATAATATACACATGTGAATGTGTGCATTTGTGTATATATGGTCATAAATATACATTTCTACCCAAAAAAGGGGATCATGGAATACATATAGTTCGGCATCTGGTTTATTTTTTAAGCTCAATTATATGTCTGTACATTTAGATTTATCTCATTCTTATTAACAATTGTACTACATTCTACTTACAAACATATTTGTTTGACTTTACTAAAAAATATTTAGGTTGTCTCTGATTTTTCACTTTGTCATTATATGTAAGTTTGTGTACACTCCTGTCAATGTTTCATAGGATTTACTAAAAAGAAAGTATTGGGTATGAGTATGTGCTATCACTGAATATGGGTGCCCCTCCCTGCAAACTCACTGGATTTTTATCAATCTTCATAATTTCTGCCTACATAAGAGGTGAAAAATGATTTCTTAATTTGTGACAAAACATTAATTACACTGTAAACTCTTAAAAGATAGAGAATATGTATTTTATCCATAGTATACATGACACAGCATTTTTGGATGAGGGAGTTTCCTGGATTTTTACTCTCTATTCCTATCCAACCATTCTGGACCCTGTCATCCTAAAGCACCAATATTTCCAGTTCACGGCAAAATCTTAGTCCCCAGAATGTCTAACCTCATTTTAGTAATAGCACATACAAAGTACTTGGTAATAGCTGAATAAATTTTGGAGTGAACTCAAAAAGCAAGTAGAGATGTTTGGATTACTTACTACAGGGAATAAGAAGGCATTTAACTTTTCTTTTTAGGGTAAAAAAAAGATAAATGTGATATTTCAAGTGGTCAAATCTGGCAGTAACATTCAAAATGATTCAGAAAGAAAAGGAAGACATCAACAAATGCAACTAGAAATTACAGTAATTGGCATGGGATGATGGGAACCTGGCTTAGCAAGGTCAACAGAGATGAAGAGTAGAAGTGGACCTAGCAGGTAATATCAAAGAAAAAACCACGGAGAATGAGGGAAAAACAGAGTAGAAAGCATGATACATTCTTGCTGATACCATGATTTCTAGTCTCAGAGGCTAAAAGAACAGGAGGAGTCAGGATAAGAACTTTGTTTGAGAGAGAAGATAGCTTCTGTTTTTGGATATGCTGGGCTTGAAGTAACAACAGCATGTCTATATAGAGATGTCCCAAACACCAGGGATATGTGAGAATAGAGTTCATATGAACATATATGACAAAGATGAAAATATGGGGAATATAGATGTCAAAGGGATAGTTGAGACCATCATAACGCATTTGTGGGAGTTTGTGCAGAAACAGAACAGCAGTGTAAAAGACAGAGTCTCCTCAGGGATTGTGGCAGAGACTGTTGGCCATTCTGAAATCTCTTCTCCCTACTTCTGGACACACAACTATACTATATTTCTCAATCTTCCTTGAATTTGATTGAGTGAAGTGACAAAGGTCTCCCCCATTAAGTGAATGAGAGTGAAAAGTGATGTTAGCCATTCCAGTCTGGCCCGTAAAAACCACCCAAATGAACCCCTCTGTGCTCTTCTTCTACTGCTGGCCAAACTTAGTTGATGAGGAGGCCCTTGAGGATGATGGAACCACCATGTGGAAGGAATCTCTGTCCCTGAATTGTCAGGGGGAAAAGAACTGTCCACTGAACTAAACAGATCAAAACATGAGCAAGAAAGTCCTATTCTGTGTGAGCCAAACTTTAGAGTCTATATACTATAGTAGTTTAGCTTAGCCTAACAAAGGTGTCAATTATATATCTGCATTAAAAAAGGAGACTGATAAGAAGCATTGAAGAAGCAATAAGGAGATAGAGGAGACAAAAATTATTGAATTAGCTGGTGGAAGAAAAGATACCAAGAAGGTGGTGTGGTCTATATAACCTAATGCTGCCCTGCAGGACAGCACCATAAGAACACAAACGGTGGCAGCTTCCCTGGTGGCGCAGTGGTTAAGAATCCGCCTGACAATGTGGGGGACATGGGTTCAAGCCCTGGTCCAGGAAGATCCCACATGCCACGAAGCAACTAAGCCCGTGCGCCACAACTACTGAGCCTGAGCTCTAGAGCCCACGAGCCACAACTACTGAAGCCCCCGTGTCACAACTACTAAAGCCCATGCGCCTAGAGCCTGTGCTCCACAAGAGAAGCCACCGCAATGAGAAGCCCGTGCACCACAACGAAGAGTAGACCCCGCTCGCTGCAACTAGAGAAAGCCCGTGTGCAGCAACAAAGACCCAATGCAGCCAAAAATAAAATAAATAAAAATTTTTTAAAAAATTTAAAAATAAAAATGGGTTGTAATTAAAAAAAAAAAAGAACACAAACTGTGGAGTCAGAATGATTAGACAAATACTGATTCCCCAAGTAGTAGCTAAACAATCATGTACAGATTTCTTAACCTAAGAGTCTTCTTTTCCTCACTTGTAAGATGGGGTTAAAGTAGGCACAGGACTCGCAGAAGCCAGCTTGGAAAACAGTGTCATTATTACTGTTACATTATTACTGAAGTTGAAGAAGACTATTAAAAGCCATTGGATTTGGTAAGAAGGAATTCTGTAGTGACTTCTCAAAGAGTCATAAATTATCTGAAATAAAAGTTAAATTACACAAGTTAAAAAGAGAATCAGAATTGAAGATATGGTCATAAAATAAGATTTAGGAAAAAATTTTAAATGGAATCATCAGAGAAAGTGAAAGTCAGGATACAATAACATAAGGATCTGGTGAAGGGTACTGTCTTTATGAGGCGAGATTCATGGATAACTGAATGTACAGGAGAAAGAAACTATGATCAGGGTAAGATTTAGAATGCTGGAGAAAGCAAGAAAACCACAAATGTCAGGTCAGGAGAAATGGTGAAGGCCGCTAACCCTGATGAGAAAGGCATCTCTTTTCCTCTGACTCCAAAGAAACTAATGAGAAGAGGCAAGTGCAGGAAAGGGGGGACAGAGTGGTAATCAGGTTTCTTGTGGGTCTCACCCAGGTGGCTGCAACCTCCCCAGTGGCCTGAAGAAGGCTTTAAGCCGAACTCTCTGGCAAACATGACAAAGGCTCCATCTGCCTTGCTCTTACCTGGACTTGGACCTCCTGAAATCTCTCTCTCCATCAGCCATGGTTCTTCTCCCTTCTCCAACTGGGAAATCACACCAGGTTTGGAAAGCTGATACCCTGCTTGTGAAGAAGAAGAAAACTACATGTGCTGAGGTCAAAGAGTTATCCCAAGAATTTAAAGATAGTTCTTTGTTATTCAGGCCTTCTGGAGGGTAGAGTAGAAAGACCAGAGCAGAAAAGACCACAGCAATCCTGACTTGATGTTCAGAAGGAATTAGAAATCTCTAACACAGAACCCAAAGACCAAGCATACCACTTAACTTAGAAACAAAGATTGTTATTCCAATAGACAGGTTCTAGTTACAAGGGGAACCCATCCTTACCCACTGAGACCAGGTTCCCATAGTTCTCCAGCATCACCTCCCGGTACAGATTCCGGTGAGCAGGGGCCAGCTGCCCCCACTCCTCCTGGGTGAAGTCCACAGATATGTCTTTGAAGGTTAACAGTTCCTAGAACATCAAATATGTTCCTTTTCAGCCAGAGTTAGGAAGTTGTTCTAACCTTGTCTAGATGCTAAGAGATTTTAGCCAAGTTTTCCTGGATACCCTCTTTTTTTTTTTTTTTTTTTAATAAAAGCAAATCCATCATAGGGTTGGAGAAACACCACTCAGCAGAGATTCTCCTCAGGCTAGACAGGTCTAGTCTATGTCAGTCTGTATGTAAGGACTTAAATTTATGAGGTAGCCTGCCACATGTGGGAACCCATCTCTGATGCAGGAAAGGCTAGAAAGGGATCTCTTTGTCATCAAGCCTCTGTCAGTTCCTACAGACACCCTCTTGAAAACTGGCTGATTCTCTGCTGGAGGTTACAAAACAATGCAGGGAGTGTGTAAGCTGTCTTTTCCAACTCACAATTTGGTTGAAGGCAAAATACTCATGAACTATATTAAAGAAGGTCACAGAACAGTATATAGTAATTTAGGTTAAGGACAATAAAAATCAGGAATATTTGAGAAAGGAAAGGGTTCAAAAGGGGCTAAGGCCACAAGAGAAAACAGGGACCCTGGTTGGGCTGAAAGAATTGGTTAAAATGAGAACATTTCAGGACTTCACTGATGGTCCAGTGGTTAAGAATCTGCCTTCCAATGCAGGGGAAGCAGGCTTGATCCCTGGTCAGGGAACTAAGATCCCACGTGCTGCAGGGCAACTAAGCCTGCGCGCTCTACAGCCCGCGTGCCACAACGAAGAGCCCGCTTGCTGCAAGGAAAGATACTGCGTGCCACAACTAAGACCCGACGCAGCCAAATAAATAATTTTTTTTTAAAAAATGAGAACATTTCAGCATGGATAAGACCCTTAGCTGGGTATTTCTGTTAGTAAAAAAAGTATGTGAGAACAGCACATTTTTAGAGGGAGCACGAATTCTGCCTAGTAAGGAAGATTCCTTGACCAAAGCAGACACTGCATTGTGAGGTACAAGAGCCTGTTATGAATGAGCTACACAAATTAAATAACCATTTGGGTTATTTTTTAAAAATATTACCAAATGCAAAGAGAACCCAGAAGCCGGAAGGCTGAGATAATAACAAATTCCTTAAGTATGGAATTAAGACTATTTTAATGCTTTTTATGTATTGTAAATAATTCTGGAATGCATTTTAGGCCTACTAGACACTAGCCTCCATATTTAACTGATGAATTTGAGGAAGGTTAAAGACATGGGACTAAACCCTGTACCATGTGATTTTGGAAGTTACGATCACTCCACTTTAAAACTCTTCTGTTCTCTAATAATATCTCCTTCTATAGTGGTTTTCTCTGATTACTCTCTAATTCTCTTGAGTTTCTCTATGCTTCCGGGGTTTGGCTGTGCAGAGCTTTGCCTGCTAGTGTCACTGGTTTTCTGATGAGCTCGTGTATGATACACAGACACTATTAAACTGCTCTTGGAAGTTCTCCTTCCTTTTCTTCTTAGCCTGTTTAGTTTGTGTCCTTTAGGACCTGTCAGTAGCTTCTCTACTCATTTCTCTATCATCTATAATTCTGCTCCAGGACATGACCAAAAATCCTTTCTTAAAGGTCATTAATGAAGTGTATACATCTCCAAGAATATCAGAACCTCTCTGTTCATTTTAAAGTGTTGCTTTAAATATTTTACAATGTTTGTCTTTCCCCTGGATGACATCTTGAGATGCTTAAGGGCAAGAATTATATTATATACTTTTTCTCTCTCTTACACACACACACACTCACACACATGATTTTTAAATTTGTTGCATAAATGGCTAGAGGTTTGCTAGAAACAAGAGGGTTTCTGAGGAAGGTTACTACAGGTGGGGAAAATGCCTGTGAAATCAATCCATGCAGCCTGGTTTCTAACAGGTTAAGAAAATCCAATCCAGGAAGTCGAGTCAAAGAAAATTGAAGCCAGGGCTCTTAAAATCTGAGAAACAATTTCAAGAAAGTGACAGGAAACTCCAAGCTACCTGGGATTCTGCTGTCAGGGACCCAGATGCCACTTCATCTTCAAAACTTTCTCCCCGGGTCTCATCAGCATCCTGAGATAGCAGAACTGGGAAAGGAAAAGAGCTATGAGGTTTGCATCTTCCCAGATCCCCCAAATAGAAAACCTGCCTGCAGACCTGCTGAATCTGGCCCCTCTCTCAATACATTCAATACAATGAGGGACATTCAGAGCAACTCAAGAGCAGGCTGGCGCCTCCTTAATGAGGAGGATCTGCAGTGCGTTGATTGGGGGATTAATGTTTCCCAATGGCCAACGCTGGTCCAAAAGCACAGACCTAACAGGCCATTCCTTTGTACAAAAATCCTCAAAGGTTCCCCATTTTCAAGAAAGAAAAATCCAAACACTTTACCATAGACTTCAAGATCCTCCACAACCAGTCCAAAACTGCTTCTTCAAGTATTACCTGCCTCTAAACACCATCCTTCATCCTCTGGACACACCCACCACATAATCCTATTCACCATTCTTTGAACATATCTGGATAGCACCCACCTCAGTACTTTCCCCCAAGTCCCACTCGGTGAAAAACTGAGGTATCCTTCTAGACCAGTCTGAGTGAAGTTTTCTCAGAGCCCCTTAATGAGAGGAAAGCTTCCTCTCCCCTGAATTCCTCCAACGCTTTTTTTAAAAAAATATTAATTTATTTTATTTATTTATTTTTGGCTGCATTGGGTCCTCATTGCTGCGCGCGGGCTTTCTCTAGTTGCGGCGAGTGGGGGCTACTCTTCGTTGCGGTGCGTGGGCTTCTCATTGCAGTGGCTTCTCTTGTTGAGGAGCACGGGCTCTAGGCACGTGGGCTTCAGTAGTTGTAGCACGTGGGCTCAGTAGTGGTGGCTCGTGGGCTCTAGAGCGCAGGCTCAGTAGTTGCGGCACACGGACTTAGTTGCCCCGCGGCATGTGGGATCTTCCCTGACCAGGGCTCGAACCCGTGTCGCCTGCATTAGCAGGCGGATTCTTAACCACTGCGCCACCAGGGAAGCCCCAAAGCTTGGTTTTTATCTCTACTCTGGTGTCTATCTCAGGCTGCCTCCTATTATATTTATTTTTATACTTATCACTGTCAATTGAGTATTAGTATGAGTATATGCATAGAAACTGTATCTGGTTCATTTTTTCCCATCTGCTACTTAAACACAACTAAATTATGCCAGGCTGCTAGAATTCAAGAAATAGTGGCTGAAATTTGACATATTAAAAATATGAACTAGCAATTAAGGCACATGAATTATTGTCCTTGTATTTTCCCCTTAACTTTTTATCATGAATATTGAACACTCATATATCTAACACATTAAATGATTGTTAACATTTGCCATATTTGTTTCATCTATCTATATTTTTTCTGAACCATTTCAAAGTTGCAGAAATTATGATACTTCCTCCCTAAATACTTCAAAGAGTCTTCTCCTGCATAACCATGATACCAATTATCACACTTCAGAGAGTTAACAATAATTCCATAGGATCATCTAAATATTCAGTCCATATTCAGATTTCCTCAATTGTTCCCAAACTGTCTTTTATCCTAGAGTTTTTCCAATTAAGGCTCACACATTTTAAGTGGTTATTAGTCAAAGTCTCTCTTACTCTAGACAGTACTTGCCTTTCCTTCATGACACTGGCATCGACTTACTGTATCCTCATGGTGGGGTTTCTCTTATTTCTCCATCCCCTGTATTTTCTTTAAACCAGAAGTTCAGCCTTTAAGATTAATTTGGATCAGGTTAAACATTTTAGGAAACATTTTAGGCAGGGATTCTTCATGGGTGATACCATGTGCTTTATATTACGTCACCCAGAAGGCACAAAATGTCAGGTTATCCCATCATTGGGACACTTGGTTAAGATAGTGATCACTAGGACCTCCCTGGTGGTGCAGTGGTTAAGAATCCATCTGCCAATGCAGGGGACACGGGTTCAAGCCCTGGCCCGGGAATATCCCACATGCTGCAGAGCAACTAAGCCCGTGTGCCACAACTACTGAGCCTGTGCTCTAGAGCCCGCAAGCCACAACTACTGAAGCCCGTACGCCTAGAGCCCGTACTCCGCAACAAGAGAAGCCACTGCAATGAGAAGCCCGCGCACCGCAACGAAGAATAGCCCCGCTCGCCACAACTAGAGAAAGCCCGGGCGCAGCAACGAAGACCCAACGCAGCCAAATATAAATACAGTTATAAAAAAACAAAAGATAGTGACCACTAGATCTTGTCACTGAAAAAGTATGTCCTTTCCCTGGCATTTAGCAAGTGATTTGTGGGGGCCATACCTTGACACCATGTGAATATCCTATTCCCTACCAACCTTCCAATTACTTCATTTACAGTAAAATATTCTATCATTCTTTCTACATTTATTATTGGCAGGTATTCTCTGAAAAGGATGTAAAAAGCAAGGTAAATGCATCCTTCATTCCCATAAAAATCTATTTTCAACATAAGAAATCAGTGTATTAATCACTTCCAATGTGGCAGATGAGTTTTCTCCCCCCCTCCTCTGTTATATTTATTTATTTTGGGGGGGTTCCTAAATTCTTTTTCATTTTTAAAAATTTTTATTGGAGTATAGTTGCTTTACAATGTTGTGTTAGTTTCTGCTGTACAGCAAAGTGAATCAGTAATACATATACATATATCCACTCTTTTTTAGTCCCTTCCTATTTAGGTCACCACAGAGCATTGAGTAGAGTTCCCTGTGCTATACAGAGTAGGTTCTCATTAGTTTTCCATTTTATAAATAGTAGTGTATATTTGTCAATCCCAATCTCCCAATTCATCCCATCCCATCTTCCCCCCTTGATAACCATAAGTTTATTTTCTACATCTGTGACTCTCTTTCTCTATTTTAAGTGTCATCATGAATGCGTGGAATTTTACTTATTTAAGGTGTTACAATCAATCTGGACACTTAGGGCTTCCCTGGTGGCGCAGTGGTTAAGAATCTTCCTGCCAATGCAGGGGAAACGGGTTCGAGCCCTGGTCCAGGAAGATCCCACATGCCGCAGAGCAACTAAGCCCGTGCATCACAACTACTGAGCCTGCACTCTAGAGCCCACGAGCCACAGCTACTGAAGCCCATGCTCTGCAACAAGAGAAGCCACTGCAATGAGAAGCCACTGCAATGAGAAGCCCGCGCACTGCAATGAAGAGTGACCCCCGTTCGCTACAACCAGAGAAAGCCTGCGCCCAGCAACGAAGAGCCAACGCAGCCAAAAATAAAATAAATAAAATAATAAATAAATAAATAAAAGGCCCTTTAAAAAGAAAAGCTGGACACTTAAACTGTCCGCAATTTGAACCGGGCTTCTGCATCCTTCTGGTAGACGTCCATGGGTCTTTGAGCTCTTCCTTGCTATTCTAGCACAAGATACTCTGGTCTCACCTGGTACTTTCCCTACTGCCTTCTACTTCTGACCTACCCACCTAATACCTGGACAGGTCATTCATTTGATTCACATTTCCTCACTGTAAAATAAGGAAAATCAGGCAAGTCCTCCCAGCCCCACGCACCCATGGGGAAGATAAAAAGAAATAACATACACAGCCATTATGAAATATTAGTTTTAGTCTGAACTAACCACTACTACTTGGGAAAACCCCAAGCCAGGAGCAATAATCAAGAACTCCAGAGACCTTTTACCTAAGCAGATGCTTCTGCTCAGGTGCCCACTTTCCTTCCCACCCTAGAAGATGCTGCTTTGCCTCCCTCCCACCCAGCAGTCTATTCTCACCTTCTCCTTCAAACATCTTAGTCACGTCCTCCCACAGGGGCGCCCTCTCCGTGGCCTTCTTTGGATGGTGCAACTTCACCCAGGTGCTGGTCTCGACGGGCAGGGTGATTAGGAGTCTCTGAAGCATGATAACTTCGGCGCTCCTTTCTGGCGAACTGTACCTCAGCTCACAGGGCAGAGAGTCCTGACTGGGCTTGTCCACTTTTTATGAGGAAACTGCCGGAAACTGACGGAAGGCTTCACAGTTGCACGGGTGTCCTCCACTCTCAGGAACCCGGCGAACATACAGCACCAAAATCCGGAGTCTGGACCTTTTTACTCCCTAGGCTCTCAGAAACACCTCCCATCCTTGCGCTCCATCTGTCTCCTCAGCAGGCAGCGGGAGGCTCCAGACGTTTATTCTAAATCGCCAAGTCTACAGGCCCCTAGCCATGCTGGTTAGAAAACATCAGAGTCAGCAAAAGGATCCGGAAAGTTCAATCACATGGTCAGAATTCTAGAACTTGCACCAATCACTGAACATTGTTTACAAAAGATACATGGAGACCGTGGATATATACAGTCCATATGGTCCAAAACACCGTGCTGGGGTCATGAAGCATAAAGGGATGAATAAAACCCAATTCTTTGTTTTAGGCAGCACTAGGTTTAAAGTAGTCTGAGATTTGGAATCAAAAAGGATCTGGCTTTGAATCCCAGCTCCTTCCCTTGCCGGCTGCGGCAAATCCCGTAACCCCGCTAATCCAGTTTCCTCCTCCCGAAATGAAGAGGATAAACCTTTTCTCCAGGGCTGAACCGCCCGGCCCTGCCCTCGCAGCCTTTGTCTGAGCCGACTCTGGGGCGCGGGGCACACTGCGCGCCACTGGTGACAGCGGGCGCGGCCGAGGCGGCGCTACCCGGCTTGTCCCCTCCCCAGACCCTGGGGAGCCCTGGCTCACCCCTCTCACCAGCTCGGGCCGCACGCCCCAGCCCTCCTGCCGCGACGGACCGGTCTCCGCGCAGTGCCAAGATGCCCCACGTAGCGCAGCCCGGCCGGTGCGCCTGCGCGGCAGCGGCCTCCGCGCGCGGTTCCCGGCGTCCTGCGGGGCAGCCTGCCAGCTCGCCGGCGCCTCCCGGGATGCGCCCCGGGATACTGTTCCATCACTCTCCGTTTGCACGCAACTCGAGACCCGAACCCAGGGAGAAGCAGCCTGCTCCTGCGGAAGGAAACAAAGCCTGTGTTCCCGTCCCCGCCGAGACTACTGAATAGAACCGGATCCCCTCTGCCAGGCATAGATGTGTGTATGTTTCCACCGGGAGATTTGAAACCCTTGACAAAGGGAAACATCTGTATCTCTTTTTTGTCGAAACAACATTGGTGTAAAAGAATCCATACCACTTTCACTTAATATGTACGTGGAAAAGACTGAAAGTGGAATGGAATCCAGTGTTTCATTAAAAGAATACCATGGTCAGGCAGTTGTTTGTCCTAGTATTCAATAAGTTCTTACGTTAATTGCTTTCCTTATATTTCTAAAATGCCACAAAGTAACTGTTACCTGTAATCTCACCAAGCAGAGTAACCATTGCTAACATTTGGTGCACAGACACCTACATACACATAATTTTTAAAATGCATTTTTATGTATTTTCTGCAAAAACGATTATACTGTAATGCTGTTTTATTTTCTACATCAATAGCCTACAGAAATAACAATTCAGAAAATAGAATAAAACTATGTGATTGCTGAACTTCCCTGGTGGTCCAGTGGTTAAGACTCTGCGCTTGGACTGCAGGGGGCGCGAGTTCCGTCCCTGGTCAGGGAAGTTCCGCTAGCCGCGCGGTGCGGCCAAAGACAAAAATCCACAACAAAACAAAAAACTATGTGATTGCTAGCTATTATGAACTGAATGTCTGTGTCTCCCCACCCAGCTCTCCAAATTCATATGTTGAAGCTCTAATCCCCAGTGTAGCTATATTTGGAGTAAGAAAGTACAGATCTTGGACTTCCCTGGTGTCGCAGTGGTTAAGAATCCACCTGCCAATGCAGGGGACACGGGTTGGAGCCCTGGTCCGGGAGTATCCCACATGTCGCGGAGCAACAAAGCCCTTGTGGCTGGGAGCCACAACTACTGAAGCCCACGTGCCTAGAGTCCCTGCTCTGCAACAAGAGAAGCCACCACAATGAGAAGCCTGCACTGCAACAAAGAGTAGCCCCCGCTCTCTGCAACTAGAGAAAGCCCCTGAGCAGCAACGAAGACCCAACGCAGCCAAAAATAAATTAATTAATAAAATAAATTTAAAAAAAAAAGTACAGACCTTCCTGGGCTTATGATGGGGTTACATCCAGATAAGCCCATGATAAATTGAAAATACAGTAAGTCAGAAATGCATTTAATACAACTAACCTACCAAACATCATAGCTTAGCCTAGCCTACCTTAAACGTGCTCAGAACCCTTACATTACCCTGCAGTTGGGCAATATCATCTAACGCAAAGCCTATTTTATAATAAAGTATTGAGTATCTCATGTAGTTTACTGAATACTGTACTGAAAGTGAGCAAAATGGCTGTGTGGGTGCAGAATGGTTGTAAGTACATTGGTTGTTTATCCTTATGACTGTGACTGACTGGGAGCTGAGGCTCACTGCCACTGCCCAGTATCATGAGAGGGTATTATACCAAATATTGCTAGCCCAGGAAAAGATTAAAATTCAAATTATGGTTTCTACTGAATACATATCACTTTCACACAACCGTAAAGTTGAAAGATTATAAGTTGGGGACTGTCTGTAATTAAGATTAAATGAGGTCATAAGGTTGGGGCCCTGATCCTATAGGATTAGTGTCTTTTTAAGAAGAGACATCAGAGGGCTTAATCTCTCTCTGAAGACAGACCCTGAGGAAAGGTAATATGAGGATTTAGCAAGAAGTCACCATATACAGACAGTAAGAGAGCCCTCATCAGAAACAGCTCCTACCAAATTTTGATCTGGGACTTCTAGCTTTCAGAACTGTGAAAAAATAAATTTCCATTGTTTAAGCCACCCAGTCTATGATATTTTGTTATAGTAGCCCAAGCAGACTAACACACCAGCATATAGTATTTACAGAGTATGAAGCTTTGTTCTAAGTGCATTACATATTTTTTTAATTAATTAATTATTTTTTTTGGCTGTGTTGGGTCTAAGTTGCTGCATGTGGCTTTCTCTGGTTGCAGCAAGTGGGACCTACTCTTTGTTGTGGTGCCCAGGCTTCTCACTGCAGTGACTTGTCTGTTGTGGAGCATGGGCTCTAGGCACATGGGCTCAGTAGTCGTGGCTCGCAGGCTCTAGAGCACAGGCTCAGTAGTTGTGATGCATGGGCTTAGTTGCTCTGTGGTATGTGGGATCTTCCCAGACCAGGGCTTGAACCCATGTCCCCTGTGTTGGCAGGCGGATTCTTAACCACTGAACCACCAGGGAAGTCCCGCATTACATATTTTAACCAATGTAGTCCTCATAACAACCCCTTGAGGTAAATGCTATTATTATTCCCACTTTGCAGATAAGAAAACTGAGGTTTGGAGAAGTTAAGTAACTTGCCCTGCATCATACAGCTTGCAAGTGGTGAATCCAGGCAGTCTGCGCTTCTGTCTACTACTCAACAAAAAAACAGCATAAAATATGGTAAAAAGTTCATGGTAGAGTCTAGGTAGTGGTACATGGATGCTCACTGTAAAACTCTTTCAACTTTCCTGTATGTTTGAATATTTTCATACTAAAATATTGGAAAAATATTGCTAAGAATGAACAACAAGAGTTATGCAGGACATTATAAATAAAACCACAAAAGTTACTGATTTAAATGGAGAGACTAATGATGTACACCATGTTCATGGATTGGAATAGAACATTCTAAATATGTCACTTTCCCTCCTTTAATGCGCCACAATCAAAATCTCAACTTTTCCTTTTATTAAATTAAATGATTCTAAAGTTTACCTGGAATGGTAAGTATTCCAGAATGGCCAGTAAAATTTTCCAAAAATAATGATGTCAGACTTGACCTACCAATATAATTGGTATAAATTGTTTTACCAATATAATATAAGGCACAATAATCAAAATAAGATAAAACTAGTGCCAAAATATACTCATAAATTAATGAAATGAAATTGGGACCCCGGAAACAGACTTGGTAATTTACTTAAATTTAAAATATTATAAAAGTGGCATTACAAATTAGTGGAGTGATGATGAATTATTCAGTAAGTGTCATTAGGACAACTAGTTAGCCATTTAGGGAACTGAATTAGTCTGCTTGGGCTGCTACAACTAAATACCATAGACTGGATAGCTTAAACAGCAGAATTTTTTTTTTTTTTTTTACAGTTCTGGAGGCTGGGGAGTCCAAGATCAAGGTGCTGGCAAGGTAGATTACATTCTGAGGACTCTTCTCTTGACTTGTAGGTAGCTGCCATCTTGCTGTGTGTGAGACCTTATGTGAGGTCTCACATGACCTCTTCTTGTAGGCATATACGAAGAGAGAGTGAGCTCTTTGGTGTTTTTTCTTATAAAGACACAAATCCTTTACTTAAGACTTCATTTAACCTAAGATCTTATCTCCAAGTACAGTCATATTAGGGCTTCAAACTGAACTTGAATTGGGCAGGGACACAAACATTCAGTCCACAACAGGAACAAATCAAGTTGGGTTTCTACTGTACATGTTACACAGCATATAATTTCTGGAAAGTTAAGTTTTGTTTTAAAGTAAACTACTAAAATGTTCAAAGAAAGGTGATTCTATGCATAGTTTTGTGATTAAGTCTCTTTTATTTGCAAGGAACAAGTTCACCAGAATTGCTTTCTAAGTTCAAAGGATGGTGATGATGGTGATGATGATGATGATGGTGATGATTATTGAAAGGATTCTGGAGTGTCTTTGGGTCATCATAGCCATATAATTATGATACTGGTGTGAAAAACGACAAATAAACCAATGGAACAGGCTAGGGAATCGAAAAATAGATTCTAGTATATATGAGAATTTATTAAATGACAAAGATGGTAGCTCAATTCAGAAGGAAATGGGTGAATTGCTTAATAAGTGAAGCCTATGGAATTTTAGTACTTATCAATCTGGAAGAAAATAAAAACGGATCCCTATCTTAAACCATATTCAGAAATATTCCAGTTGTATTAAACTCTTACATGCAATAACAGAACAAAAATCTTGGAAGAAAATCCAAAAGAGTACATATACAAATAGAACAGTAGTTACCAGGGGCTGGGGAGAGAAGAAAATGGGAGGTGTTCAATTGCTATAAGGTTTCAGTTCTGCAAGATAAGTTCTAAAGATCCACTGTACAATATTGTGCCTATAGTTAACGATACTGTATCGCACACTTAGAAATTTGTTGAGAGTGGATCTCATGTTATGTGTTCTCATCACACACACAAAAATAAGAAGGACTCAAGGAAACTTCTGGAGGTGAAAATAGATTCTATATAGATTCTGCTTTCTTAATTGTGGTGATGGTTTCATGGGTCCATGCACATGTCCAAACTCATCAAATGTAGACATTAAATACTTGCAGTTTTCTTGTATATCAATTATACCCAATAAAAATGTTGGAAAAAAGTACATATACGATTATTAGTGGGAGAAACTTTTTTAACAAAAAGTCTGAAAACTTGATCAACATACTTGACTAGATAAAAATTAAAAACTCTTGTAGGGGGGCCTCCCTGGTGGCGCAGTGGTTGAGAGTCCGCCTGCCGATGCAGGGGACACGGCTTTGTGCTCCGGTCCGGGAGGATCCCACGTGCCGCGGAGCGGCTGCGCCCGTGAGCCATGGCCGCTGGGCCTGCGCGTCCGGAGCCTGTGCTCTGCAGTGGGAGGGGCCACAGCAGTGAGAGGCCCGCGTAACGCAAAACAAAACAAAACAAAACAAAACAAAAAA